CACTAATTTTTTTTTTTTTTTTTTTCCTTTTTTGTTTTACATATTTCTCATCAAATTTCCCTCTGTGTGAAAAGTTTCTATTTTTTCCCCCCTTTTTTTTCCAATCGCATGGGAAATTGAAGTCTGTCGAGCGCGTAACGTTTCAATGAAGCGGTCGGGGACTCCGTCAAAGGAATTTCCAATGAAATTGAGTTTCGAAACTACTCTCCCGAGAGTCCTTCGGACCCTCCCAGACGCTCCCCTGGCTGCGGGGCATCGCGAAACTTTCCGAGGGTAAAAAAAGAAAATTCCTTTTTTTTTTTTTTTTTTTTTTTTTTCAACTTGTGGTCACGCTACACACCTTGAGTGAGGGGGGAGAGATATTGTTCCACACTCGCTCACCTGCGATTGAGCATCTCCTGGAGCACCTCGACCTCCTCCCGCTGCTCGTTGTCCTCGTCCTCCTCGTCCCTCGAGTCGAGACTGATGCGCCTGTGCCTACGCCTCCTCTGTCTCCTCGGGCAGCCCATCCCTCGCAGCTGCCGGCGCGAGTGTCCCGTCGACGACCTGCCACTGCTGTGGTTGTCAAAGTGTTGCTGAAGCAGATCCAGACTACTCGCGCTCGCGTCGGACGAGAAATTCACCGACGAGCTGTTGTTGTTGTTGTTGTTGTTGTACTCCGGCCCACTGTGGTCCGACACAATGTCCGTTAATAAATCAATACCTTTGTATGGCATATAATTTAATTAATAATGGAAGTCACGTATTTCTATAGGAAAAGTGTAAAAATTGCGCTGAAATGCAAACAAGGTCGAACTATCCAATCGAGCTAATGTAAACAGTCAGACATGTTCTTGCAATGATAATAATCTGGTAGCACCAACATTAATATTCAAAATCAGTGCAATCGAGTACGATCGCATAGTCTCGAGAGGAATGAGTTTCAGCAATCATATGTATAATATTTATCTGCCTAATCGTTCATCTACATATACCCTAGCGTCATAATTTAAGTCCCATTAACTACATGACCGTGCGTTTTTTCCAATTTATTAGTTTCATCGATCGACCTCTAAATGTTTTTTTCTCTTGAGCCACTACATTTTACTTTCTACTAAACTAGTCGTATACCCGTACGTGATAATTATTCACTGAATCAGACTTGCTCGCCATCCCCAATTTATTCTCGGGCTACATTATATACTTGATACGCAATCCCAACTGTTTATCGGTATAACACTATTATTCATACTACACTATACGTATACTATTGGTACTGATGTTCAATACATCACGCGTCGACTCCCGTGCAGACCATCACCGACCGTTCGTTCACACACACGCATTTGCAAAAATCCACTTGCACATATATATTATGTACATGTACTGTTGCAATTGTAATAATAATAATGATAATAATAATAATAATAATAATAATAATAATGATAATTCATCGATACACAAAATAGCTCCAAGGCAGTCCACGTGTAGGAAGTTGAGGAGGAAGAAAATACAATATTGTAATCCGGCGTTAAATCTCTCGAGTTTGGTTCTTTGTCGCGCGAGTGTGTGTGTGTGCGCGCGCGCACGTAAAAAATAATAAACTAAAGAAAGAAACAACGTCGCGGTGGCGTTCGCTTATAAGTTTCAGAGTGGCCGCAGGCAGCTGAACTTGAGCGCGGCGGATTGGTCCTCCAAGCTCTGCTTCAAGCCCTGCAGAGTCTCGATGAGCACGTGCTTCTTCAGCTGCGCGTAGGACGAAGCCGCCGAGGCCGACTGGAACAGGCGTGCATTGTTCTATCGTCACCGATTTTGTTGAAACCGAGATAAAACCAAACAACAAACAAACAAACAAAGCAATTCACCTGCAATTGCAATTGTTGCTGCTGGTCAGCCGTGCAATCGGTATCGGAGTTCCGCAGCCAGGAAGCGGCGGCCTGTCTGTGCGCCAGTGCGCCCGGCTCGGCGGGATTGGCCTCGTAGACCTTGCGCTTGACCGGCTCGCTCTGCGGACACGAGTAAGGATCGGACGACAGCTCGGCCAGGCACGCCCCGGTGCTCGTCGGTACATCCGCGTGTCTCGGCACCATCGGCAGGCTCACGTCCAGCGATCTGCCGATTTAATCGATTTTCATTGGCGCGTAACAATAATGTTAAGGGTGAGGATCGGTTGTGTCGACTCACTTGAAGTCCATTGCTTCGTCCACGGGGCAGCTGTAGGCCGCTGGCACAACGACGACCGGCTCGTTGATCTTTTTTTGCTGCTGCTGCTGCGTGCGAAACAAGGAGAAAATGACAAATCGGTATTGGGGTAGAGCCGTGCTTGTGGCGATACACACCTGCAGTCTCTTGGGGCTCGAGTGGTCGAGGAGGTCCTTGATACTGCCGCTGGAGAGCTCGGGCTGGGAGTTGCGGCTCTTGGACAAGGCGAGCTCGATGTGAAGCTCGGCGTTCTTGATGAGCTCGACTCGTTTGTTCGGCGCGATGCCCGTGCAGGTTGGCTGCTGGTAAGCTCTGCGCGGGAACCTGCTGATGGGCGAGCACTTGTCGACGGCGACGGAGCCAGACGAGCTCCACGGGTTGCTCGGCTCGTCCCGTTCGAGCTCCTCCTTGGCGCTGAGGAGCATCCGCTCGGCTTCCATGATCAGCTGCGCGTACTTGAGATCGGCTTCCTTGTCCGCCTCTATGAGAGCTAGCTCGGAGGCCGATACATTTTTCAACGAGCCCGTGCTTTCCTGCGAAAGGTTTTTTTGTTTGAATGTTTACCCTCGACGATGGCTATGGAGACCAGTGACTTTTTTTTTTTTCATTAAAATTTCTCCCTCAATAACTTTTAAAGTAAAGTCAACTAACCACCGGATGGACTTGCCGTCGTCTGTCGAACCCGAGCCTCGACGGGGGCGACAGCACGTGCCGGGGACTCGTCCTCCTTCGGAGACAAATCGGCGTCCCTCCGAGGCTCCGGCTCGCTGCAGCTCTGCTCAGCGGTGGATTGGCCGACCAAGCCCGTCGGCCCTCGAAGCCGCTGTTCTTCATCAGCAGGCGCTCGAGCAGCGCGCGGTTCGTCTGCGCCGACACTTCGCTCTTGTTCTTCTTTAGCCTGCAATTTTTTTTTTTTTTTTTTTCCTTTTTTGTTTTACATATTTCTCATCAAATTTCCCTCTGTGTGAAAAGTTTCTATTTTTTCCCCCCTTTTTTTTCCAATCGCATGGGAAATTGAAGTCTGTCGAGCGCGTAACGTTTCAATGAAGCGGTCGGGGACTCCGTCAAAGGAATTTCCAATGAAATTGAGTTTCGAAACTACTCTCCCGAGAGTCCTTCGGACCCTCCCAGACGCTCCCCTGGCTGCGGGGCATCGCGAAACTTTCCGAGGGTAAAAAAAGAAAATTCCTTTTTTTTTTTTTTTTTTTTTTTTTTTCAACTTGTGGTCACGCTACACACCTTGAGTGAGGGGGGAGAGATATTGTTCCACACTCGCTCACCTGCGATTGAGCATCTCCTGGAGCACCTCGACCTCCTCCCGCTGCTCGTTGTCCTCGTCCTCCTCGTCCCTCGAGTCGAGACTGATGCGCCTGTGCCTACGCCTCCTCTGTCTCCTCGGGCAGCCCATCCCTCGCAGCTGCCGGCGCGAGTGTCCCGTCGACGACCTGCCACTGCTGTGGTTGTCAAAGTGTTGCTGAAGCAGATCCAGACTACTCGCGCTCGCGTCGGACGAGAAATTCACCGACGAGCTGTTGTTGTTGTTGTTGTTGTTGTACTCCGGCCCACTGTGGTCCGACACAATGTCCGTTTCCTTGTACACGTAGTTCTCCTCGAATCTGCCCATCACCTGTACAATGATTCGCTATGAATATTCGCTCGATCATCCAAAACAATAATCCCCAAAAGCACAAAGTAATAATCAGAAGACCAGCGCATATTAAAAGATGCACATGCATATATGACGGGGGGATTGTTTTTGTTTTGTTCTCCCACCTCGTTGAGGGTAATGTCGCTGCTGCAGCTGCTCGCGTTGCTCGGGCTGTTGTTGTTGCTGCTGCTGCTGCTGACGCTGCAGCTCCTACTGCTGCAACTACTCGCGCTGCTGCTCCTGCTGGTCCGGCTCCTGTTAGTCTGTTGGTGCTGGTTGTGGTAGCGAGGCGGCCAATCGCTGCGGTTCACCCTTCCAACGGGAAATAAGTGCGAGGGTAGGTACACACATATATATGTACGTACGGAAACAATAAAGAGATCCGATTGAGGAGTTTTTCTTTGCCCTACATACAAGTACGTATCCCTTTTCGCGCTGTAATTGGATGAAAAAGTTTTGTTGATTGGCCCGCGCGGGAGGGAGCAAAAAAAAAAAAAAAAAGCAAAGTGAATTCCCGCACAACTATACGATACGCGTATTCATAGAACCCGTTGTTATTTCCAGACCGAGTGCGTGGGCCGAGGCTCTTTGTTTCCTGGCTTCTCTTTTGCTCTCAGTTTGTTTGGTCAAGACTTTTCCTCAAGAGCCACGGATCCATTGTTGCGTGGTGTATACACCACACAACGCTCTCCGTTCATTTGTTTGCGACGCAAAACTACTGTATATACATATGTATATGTATACGTATGCTCTTCGATGCCTTTGTGCCGCAGAGAGCAAACATTATTATATTTAGCACGTTGAATTATATATATATACTATATGTATGGAGAAACGAGATCGAAGAGGACTGCATTTACAGGAGTGCTTATTAATAAGCTGCCTGGCTGGTGCATCAAGAAGTGGATCGATCATCTCGGGTGAAACTTTGCACCCCGTCCTCGTACCTTTCGATGCAGGTTTCAAACTAGGCCGTTGTAACGACAACACTCGTCATTAAATTATTTCGCTCGACTGTAATAATACGTTGGTGTCGTTCGTTATTGCGGCTGGAAGGGGAAAAAAAAAAAACACAGAAACAAAAAAATCCAGGGAAGCCCCCCACATCAGACCGTCACGCGTGCATAGTCTTAACCAGAAAAAAAAAAAACAACAACAACCAATGTTATTGCCAACCTACATAATATATATTACATGGTCGAATCGAGCGGCGATGGCGGTATTTATTGCCCGTGCGTATGGATATACTCCGATACCGTTTATTCCCTGCAATATTCATGAGCGCGAGACCGCGGTGGACCGCTGCGCTTGAAATTTTAATTACACCACCGTTGCCCACGAGGTATACACGTAAATGCCGAAAAAAAAAAAAAAAAAAAAAAAATGAAATTTAAATGTAGGTATACTCGGGGGGGGTTGGGGTCCAATTAGTGCTGGCGCCCAAAGCAAAGACAGAGAGAAGGAAGGGGGAAAAATGACGCTAATAACAACGCGATTAATCGCGCGCAATCTCCTTATGATGCCTTGTCTCTTCCCCAATTAGGGGAGGGGGCTTTAAAATGGTATATATATATACTTACGGGCTGCGTCCGACGCTGAGGCTCTCCTGCCGGCAGCAGTAGTCGTAGGCCGAGCTCTGTCGAGCGGTCCAGGCGCTTCTGGGCTGCTGTTGGTTGTTCCCAGCAGTAGGTATGACGACGCTACGGCCGAAATTATTCGGGGAAGGCCACGGACTCGTCCTCAGTCGCGAGCGCTGCCTCGGCGACCTAACCGGTGTCACCTGTGTACATAATATGATATACCTACGTCTTTGGGTCGATTGGACGTTCACTATTGAGAGGAGAGAGAGAGAGAGAGTGGCGCTTGAATTCGAATTTTTCCCAAAAAGCTCAAACTTCCAAGGTTGGAAAATATCGTTCCCCGTTGATCCGCCCAAACCCCACCAACACTTGCTGGTCGGAGGAGCGAAATCGCGGATACCAAATGAAAAAGCACCCATGCATGTAGTCCTCATCCGGAAGAGGAAGGAAAACACGAGACGTGAGCAATATACCGGCGCGTGCACGCGAAATAAAAACACACTCCGCTTTTTCCCTTGTACGATTCATCAGTTCGGCGGCGTTACATCATCTCTGTTGGTCGTTCGCTTCGACGAGCGTCAGTTTCCTCTCTCTCTCTGTCTCTTTAAAAGGAAAAAGGGGTAAAAGACCAACCTGAGTAGTAGTTGTAGCGACGAGAGGCATCCTCCGCGGCGAGAAGAGTTGCAGGGGGTAGCCGGAGGGGACGGGCGAGGAGGGGGACGACGGGGTGGAATCCCCGAGCATGGGGGAGGAGTAGGGCTTGCGCATGAGTTGTTGCTGTTGGTGGTGGACGGGCGAGTGGATCTTGGGAGAATTGGCCAACGGCCGGCTGCTCGTCGGCGGTGCCGGCTTGCGCCACTGGTGCTCCGACTCCTCGGTGCCGGTGCCGACCACGTAACTTCCGCCACGCCGGTTGTTGTTACCGGTGCTCACCGTGTACGTGCCCGTGCCGTTTATTTGCTGGTTCTATTTTTTTTGTTTTTTTTTCCCCCCCCATAGGATGGAAAACAATCGTGCTTTGAATTTTAGATTCGATACATCGCTACCAGCTTCCGAGATTTCGGGGGCTTTGCTCTTTCCCTCGCCAAGAGCGTATCTCGTTTTACGATTGATACATCCGTATATACACAGCCGTCCGACACTTGCTACACTTATACTAATACATATACTGTACGGTGATCGGTAACTAAAAACGGGTCATCCCTCGTGTATACGTGTATAATTTCGCGCGTATACACCGAAGCTTTTGTACACGCGATGCGTACTAAATTAACTGGTGCTCGGGTTACTTGCGAAGCATTTCCACAGGTAGGTGTATACATACGTGGGAGGCAATAAGTTAGTCCGCGAGAGAAAGGACAATGCAAACAGAGAGTGCCTGCATACATGTACACACACAGCACAGAGAGGGGAAGAGAAGTGCTCCGTGCACAATGGAAGCGGAGAGAAACTCGATACTCTGCCATGCCTACCGCGCCATATTCCACCCGCGTCTGCTCAAATCAGTAGTAAGAGAGAGTATCGAGTCAGCCCCAGCCAGTCAGACCGCTATTTTCACTTGCTAATGCAACTCCCTTTCTACTACTCTACAAATATATGCCGTGTCTACTACTCTATACCATAGGTATACTGCTGGTGGAAAATGAAATAAAGTTAAGGGGGAAAAAAAAGCTCGATTTCTCTCCTTTTTCGGAGCTTCCGAGAGAAGAAGAAGAACTTCCCCGAGAGCGTGGTGGGTCCAACTTTTGTTTTAAAATTCCAAGCCCCGCGGGCTCGTCTGCTGCATTATGTATATATAAGTAGGTACCACGCTTACTACCTATTACGAGCTCCAGCGCGAGAGAGGGGAAGTGCGAAAAAAAAAAACACGTAAAAGACCTTGCCGCTAGACCGTACAGGTGTATATACTGAGCTTTGAACGAGTTTTTCGGAGAGTGAGATACGTATCATATTTCACGCCCAATGGTTTCAAAGGGGAGATGGATGGTCACCTCGTCAACCGTAGAGCTTGAAGTAACGCGCAGTATGCAGCTTTGACAGTGGTGATACAATAAGTAGAGAGGAGTTGATCCCCGTCATTCGAAATCACTGGTGCGCACTCGAGAGGCCCTTATATAGGTAAGTATTGCGCAAATCGCTTATGACGCGCCCGTACACTGTATATATAGACAATAAAGATTATATACAGCTTTACCGCTGAGCTCGCCCCCGAAAGCTCAACGAGCGACAATTGACGCTGCTGCGCTTAAGCTCCCCCACCCCCCGCAATTGTAAAGCCTTTTCGAGATAGCTCGTTGAAATTTCGAGATTATACAAGCTTAACGGGCGAGCTTATCTTTTTCAACGTTTCACCGTGCGTTAAAATAATAATCCCCCATCGGGAGCTTTTTTTCCGAATAAACCCTCCCCCGCGCGATCGTTTCGTCACAGAGATGATTGCCTCAGAGAGGACGCGTCAAAGTTCGAGGTGCATACGTGTGTGTGTGTGTGTGTATGATTGCCGGTTACTTCAAAGCGCTCATTTGAGAGGGAATACCGTGAGTCGATGGTTGTACGCGTTGCCCGTGTCGAGTGGCTGTGTATGATCGAGACGCGACATCAGGTTACGGGAGACGAGCTAAAGAGACAACCCCCCCCCCCCCCACCCTGTACACTTTGGCTCGCCGATCTTATGCGTGCTTGTCACTTTACGTGCTCAGGGAGTGATGACTGTATTTGTCGCGCAAAAAAAGAGCAAAGCCCGAGGGAAAGAAAGAAGNAAAAAAACATAGCTACTGTAGGTACATCGATTATTAAAAACATCATAGTTGACGAAGGAATTAAACAGCATTTATTTCTCCATTTTCTTGCTCGAGTGACAATTCATTCGAAAGAGCCGAGTAACGTCAGCAGGATTATTAAGAAGAACAGGGGTACAGTAGCTGTTACTTCAACAGCGTTAAACAATGCCGTTTTGACATTTCTCCGTCTCTACCTACCTCGCGTTCTTTTCTTCTCGTTGTTCTTCGCGCGCAAGTGCACTCGGAGAAACAAAAAAAGAAAAAAGAGTCTTCACGTGAATGCCACGTATGTACAATGTGTATATACGTTTCTGCAGTCTGGCAACTTTCGACTAGCACAAATATACTCATGCTCGCGACAATTTACACGTTCGTATTTTGAATCACAATAACGTACATCAATAATGTGCTCGGTCTTACTAGTCCTCCGTATTAAGTAGGCTGAATGTACGACTTTGATTGTCGAGGAAAACAAGAGCTCTCCTGCCGTGGTAAATATTTCAAAGAGCTCCGGAGCACGCACAGCCTCCCACGTACACCTAAATCTTTCAGCTCTTGAACTCAGACCGAGCCATTAGCGCAAAGGAACGAGGGAAGGAAAACTCGAGTTCCCCCCCCCCCACTCCCGTGTATCGGGTGCACGCGAAAAAAAGCTCAGTCACGGAGAATAGCATCACCTCACGCACATGTCACGGATGATGGTGAAAAAGAGAGCCATATGCACGCGGATCAAAGTTCGCGATAAGAAAGTTATAGCAAAGGAGGACCCACATCCCGAGAGAAGATAATATATATAAGAGCAGTGGGTATATGTGTATGCGAACAGAGTCACACAAGCAGCCGTCGCGAGCGCGCCCCTTCAACCGCCACCCCCGTTCGCTAGTCTCGTCCGCCCCACACCCACGAGCGAGGCTCCTCGCGACCTAGCTCCTCGACTAGGCTCTGATCCCACTGCTGGCTGCATATCTACGCGCACACAGTCTCCAGCCGCGAGATATATACATTACATAGAATATCCCCGAGGGCCCGGCCGAGGACAACAACTCTCCCTCCCTCTTTCTCTCCTCGCCCTCTCGCAGCTCTGTCTTTCGAATCTTTTTATAGACGTAAGAACTTACAATCGAGTATGCAAAACTGAGAGAAAGGTGCAGAAGATGACTGTCTAGGATGTACATGCACGAAAAAACAAAAAAGAAAAAAAATATACGTATTGTATACATAATTTCAACAAGGTCACGGTGACAAAAAAAAAAAAAAACAAACAATCACAATTGGCATTTAAGTACAGTATAAGCAACTTACTCGATGGACCGTCAGCCTTTATGCTAGCGATTTTGGTGGTAATCCAGGCACAAGCAATAGTAGCTCGTCCGTCATCCCGTCCAGCAGCTATACAAGGCACGGCTGCGCCTCGGTTTTCGAGGTTACGTGCAATCGCAGACCTCTTCCTTCCTCCACGTCGTCGCCGCAGTCCTATAACTACGTAGCCTGCCCCAGCTCTCGTTGTATCTATCGGCACCCGCACTTGACACTTTTTACGTTATTCTGTACTTGCAACGATAAACCAAACACGATCATCATAAACAAAAAACAAAACAAAAGATAGTACACTCGAGAGCACAAATTCAATTACGTGGAAAATCAACAAATCAAAGTAAGGGTGTGTGATCCTGGATTGTGAGAAATTGTATGCACAGGATGATGATGAACACTCCTCTCTCTACATCGTCACGCACTCGCGTGCACGCATACAAAAGTACCGTGCAGCCGCAAGTACCGCGTCTCCTCGTCTCCTTGGACGTATACGTGTGTACGATAACCTATACGATGGTTATAGGTATTAGGTAGGTACTCAGTCAAGAGGAGCAGGAGGAGCTCAATACTTGATAAGTAAACGCAAGTAATTACGACATAGTTCCTCGCTTGTGGCCTGGAGAGGCCAGACTGTGCCGTGCGCTCTCTGCTGGCTGCTGCAAATCCATCCCTACCTCGCTCACCCTCCGACCGACAACATATATACACAGCTACTACCCCCTCGCGAGGACTGCGCTCTCTCTCTCTCTCCCTCTGTCATTCGTAGCTCGCACCAGCCCCTATAATATATACAAGGGCTGCGAGCCGCGATCTACCTACGCCAAGTTATATATATATATATGTATATGTAGCATTGCCTGCCTCCTCATGCTCACTTCTTCCACGTTTCTCGCGCTCTTGCGGTGTCGCGCGCCCCTTCATCCCCAGCCTCACCCTTAACACTCCACTGTTTGCACCTTTGCATCCATTCCTTTTCCGTATGTGATGTAGGGTACCTATTTTGTTGCGCGAGCCTATAGTTGGATTTGAAACGGGGGTGCGAACGAGGCTCGCTGGAAGATGAACGTCCACATAGGTATACATCTGTTGTTATTTCTAAACTACTTCACATGCAATCATTAATTGTCATCGTAGATGTCGGTATATCATGTTAGCTGTTCTTCAAAATTAAAAATATACATCCAGTCGTTGGAAAACACCTGGTAATTTCAAAGAGAAAATTCACATAGTAAGTATTTCACCCTGAGTGTAATATATGAGCAACGAGAATTAATCCGCACCGTAGACGCGCCCGTATGGCGGTAAGACGTAACCCATGCATGTATGCAAAAGGTGACATTCTGTAGAAAGTTTAACGTTGAACAGGGTCCGCATCTAAAGACTGCTAAAGAGCTCGATTCGTCGTCTCCTCTCACGACTCCCCAGGGTACTTTGAGTTTCGGGTGCGGTCGGGTCTTGACGGCCGACTTCGCTGATGTTATGTTTTTTCAGAATCAGCGCTGTCTACCGGTATTCGTTTTTTCTTCAATTTAAAGGGTAAGAATCTTATATATGTATATATTAAATTCTAATTCTTGCATCAGAAAAATATAATTAGAAAATTTCAAACAAAGCGCCTCCTACAGCGGGCAGCCGGTACCCTAGCTTGTGTACCGACGGCCTCTATCAGGGTTAAGACAGGGTCCCTGCATTATCGACAGTAATGTAGTTATCCTGTCACATCGACCGTCGGTTGTTTTGTTTTAGCCGTCGGTATGATACGTATGTGACAAATCGACGGTCGGTGTGACAAAATGTCCATCACATTGCCGTCGACCATACACGCATATAAATATATTATATATAATAATTTTAGGGGTATTTTAAACTCTGCTCTGATTACTCTGATACTCAGCCGCGCTAGATGGCGCTGATCGCAAACCGACTGTGTTGAT